CTAAGGCAAATAAATAAAAATAAAAATAATAATCAAATACCCTATCTTTAGTAGTTTTTAGTCATTATAAAGCCTCTGAAAAACATGTAAGCAAATAAAACAAAAGGCATGATTTCTAAAATCTAAGTTAAATTTTAGCATCTCCTCAAAACAGTCATTACCCTGTTTTAATTTCTACATTAAAAAAAAGGGGGGGGGTACAAAACTAGTGTATAATCTTTTATTCAAACGCTTAAAGGCCAGATTTTTCTCAAACTGCAATTTTTAAGATTTTAGAAAGTTAAAATAGCACTTATATTATATATGAACACAGTTAAGCAATGGTAAATACAAATCACCATGTAACTATAAATACAAAATGACTCCTTCAACCAATGACCTTAGTGACCTTAGCCATACAAAATACAGTAAGATATACAGATCTAAGCACTCTGCCAGAAGCACTTTATCACTAACATCCTTCCCTCAGATCTGCACATATTCTACATACATTTCTCTAAGAAGCTGGTTATCTGTTTTCTATCGATAATATAGAAACAAAACCATAAGGACTCAAAGAAGTGAATGCAGGATGGCCTTCTCCCATCCCCTTCCAACCTGTCTGATATGTAGACAGGGAAACAGAGCACTCTGACAGCACTGAGTGTCCAATTACAATCTGGCACCTGTTCTGTTTATTGCATATTTATTGATACCTACTAAGTACTGTGCACTAGAGAAAAATTCTAGAAATGTAAAGATAAATAGGACAAAGTACTACCTCTTAGATGCTTACAGTGAATAATGGGTTTGGACAGTAAATTACAAATACAGCACGACATGTTCAACAAAAGCAGTATGGGGGTCAGCTAAATTTTTATTAAGAAAGCGACAACAATAAAAAAAAATTCATATGAAAGTATAAAAAAAAAGAAAAAAAGAGACACCAGAGTAGACTTTTGAAGAATAAGAAGTCTGTAAAACAACAGAGAAGTGATAGTAAAAATATCCCGCCCCGATACACACCTAAATATATTCACCTGAAAGAAATAAAAAGAGAGGGACACTTTCAGAGTGCCGTATTTTCCGGCGTATAAGACGACCCCCTAATTTTACAGTTAAAACATAGGTTTAGGCCTATATTCGCTGTATAAGACTACCCCCCCACACACACACTTCAAAGAAAAGACTTACTTTGCCGTCAAGATGTGCAGGTAATTTTTGTGCAATTTTGGTCTTTTGCCCCCGATTTTCGGTTTACTTTTTTTCGTTTCAAAGGTCGTCTTATACGCCGGAATAAGTGGCAAACATATCCAGTATTGAGTCTAGTATATAAACAGACTTGGACCCTGAGTCTAAGCATATATAACATATTAAAGAGTATTCAGAGAAGGGAAATTTCCTTTTCCCTCCTGGATAATTCATTTTGCATTTCCATATTATATAAGTTCTGGGTCTTACAAAAAAAATATTACAAACCATTTTATTAGTTCCAAATGAAGCATACCCCCAAGTGATACCTGGAAATTTGCATCTATATTTCAAAGAACAAGCTGTTAGAAATTATTTTTTCAGGTCATCCTTATAGACAAAGTAAATAAATGAACAAGCCATATCAGCATGGCTTGTCATAAGGAAGGAGTCTTTAAAATTTAAAAAAAGGAAGCCAAGTTAAAAAAAACACCGAAGTAACAAGAAAAAATATATACACTATTTAAATTGAAGAAAAGGTTCAATGAACAAAACAAAGGTAATAAATAACTCTAAAAACTTAAAATCCTAATGACTGTTCTATTTCTTTTCAAAGACAGACTTTCTACAAGAAACATCAATTTTAGTATATAGCTCTTTTTTAAATATCTGGTCAAAGCCACAATGAAATTCATTTAAGTATCATAGGTAGAAATCATCCTTAGTAAGGACAGTCACTGTATAATCAACCAGAATGACTCCTATCATAGTACTGGATTCCTTGACATCAATATTGTATATAATTCTATTCAAACATTACAGTGTAACTCAAAGTAACTCTGCCTGTAAAACTGCTCTACCTGGTACCTTGGTTTCTTTTGCTTTTTTGTATTATAAAATCCACTAGAAGTCTATGTAACAAATAAAATCTTATTCAGTAGTATCTTCTCCTAAGACTGAATCACTATTTGCATAAGTTGTCTTCACATGCTTACTTAAGCAAGCACATAGAAAGTTTGTTTTTATGAAATTATAATTGAATGAACTTTCTACACTGAAAAATTTTAAGACAAAGAGCAAAAAAAATGTTAACTTCCTTACTAGTCTATAAAACTCATTTCATATGCCTACATGAAGCATGATTTTTCTATAGTATCAGAAAATGTTATGAAGCAAATCTATCACTAAAAAGGGAAGTACTATAACTCCCCAAGGATTGAGAAAAAAAAATTCTGTAGAATTTCCCCCCCAATACAAGTACTTTTAACATCAATATCTACTGAAGAGATAAAAACCAAAACTAGGTCAGAAGCACTTCTAGAGAAATCTACTCATTAATCTAAAGTACTTATTTACTTTTGAATAAACAGAATTTTCAGGCTATCACTAACTGTAAAGTATCTCTCAAAAATAATAAAGTAAATTAAATATTCAAAGTTCTAATGTATAAACATAGGTATTTAGTTCTCTTTGCAGAACTAGTTTTATTTTATCTTCAAGATCAAATGCTTTTCGAATGAACGGGATATAAGTCACTCATATGTATAAATTTTGCCCTTATTTTCCCACTACATGAAGTTTACTTTAAAACAAAGTATTATAGAATCTGAAAATGTTTTAAAGGTTGTATTTGTTGCTTGGTTAAATATGCAGACAATTCTCATTCCCCAAGAGTTACCTTATTGGGTTACAGATAGCTCTACATAGTATACTTAGAATAAAAGGTTTCTGCCAATAAATGATACCTACATTAATTTATTTTTATTGAAACAGCATTAATTAGGATGCAAAAAAATGTGAAAGTTTTCCGCTCCTTTCTAATATACAAAGTATTCATAGAAGTCACTGCAATTCAAGCCCTCAGGAAAAAAAAAATTATAGAAAATGAACTTTTTAAAATTAAATGAGGATCTTAAGAGGTCAAGAAAGTGCAGCAGAAGTTTTGCCTTTTTCACAGTGAATTTTTCCTTCTGATTTAGTATTACAAAAGAACTACAAACTAAAGAGTTGTTCTAGATAAAAAGCTTATTAAAGAACTTGGTCCATTTAGAAGAATTTCAATAAAAAGAGCTCAGGGTGTAGACATCTAACCATTTTAAATATAACAGATTCTTAACAGTTCAGTCCACTGTGATTCTTAACCCTTTAAATCTAGAAAAGTCATCGTCCATAATTGCAAAAGAATGTGTTCATTGACATTTGGAAACAAATGTGGTCAAATAACAGGAAGTGTTCCCTAATAACTAAACATAAACAAGATATGTAAATACTAGATATTTCCAAATTTCCATATCGCTCCACTCCCACTTATGTTGTTTCAAAGGGCAAACCAAAAGTTGCACTTATTCCAGAAATCTAGACATTCCTAATAATATCAAGCATGACAGAAAAGGTGTTCAACTGTGAACTAAATTCATGTACGGCCTCCCTCACGAACAAATTTTAACTCAATACCGCCTACCATTCCACCAAGAATCTAAGGGTTCACATCAGTGTCTATTTTCTTATACTTATTAGAAACTGTCCTGAATATTAGGAAAGGAGCTTTATGACCAAGAGCTTTATGAAAATGGAAAAGAAAAGAAAAAAAAAAGTGTTGCATTCGGTCTTCAGGATGTTGAAAGCATCTCTTAGGATTCAAAGGAAGTTGATGTTTGGGTTCCTTTCGCGAGTGCGGTACCCGTATGTAAGACTTTTATGGAGGTAACGCCGTACTTACGGGGGCCTGGAATAAATGCAAATTCTAAAGCCTTGGCAATGCTTTTCCTAAAGGAAACTTCAAGTTGCATTGAAAAAAAAAACGATCACCAGTCACCAAGAGACTGTACGGGGCTTCTGTCTCCTGGACGGACAAACACAGCCTCGGCTACGAGCTAGGAGAGGCCTCTTGTAACGCCACTCGTTTCTTCCGTAAAAACTTTTACGTGAGACCGAAGCCAGCGAAAGGTGGGGAGAGGCCCCGACGGAAGTAGAACCCCAGAGCCAGCAACTTCACAGGCAGAACCGTCTCGGGTTCCTCCGCCGCCGCCGCCGCCGCCGCAGGACTAGCCGGGCTCAGCCTCCACCAGACCACGGAAGCGCCGGCCTCCGGGTGCGGCGGCCGAGGAAGCATCACAGCTGCGCTCCTCCTCCCATCACCCAGGTCCTCAGGCATCCCAGAGCCTGGAGGCTACGAGACCCGTTAGGCAGTCCCACAGCACCCATCTTTACACACACACACACACAGACACACACACACCACACACAAGCTGCAGGTGATGTGCGTGTTACTGAGAGAACGTGAACAGCACGGGGCCGCGGCGGCTTTGGGGGAGGCGGCAGCGCCGTCTACAAGAGGGCCCGGGCTCCCGGGCCGCCGCCGCCGCCGCCTTCCTTCTCCTCCTCCCCAGGAAGCAGCGCGGCGCAGGCTCCTCGCGCCGGCGGGAGCCCGTGAGAGGAGAGCGGAGTCTGAGGAAAAGCCCAGCGCCCACCGAGGGGACTGGGCCTACGACCCAGAGCTGCTGCAGCTGCTGCTGCGGCTGCAACCACCCAAGTACCGCGACGCTTTACGTCCCATCCACCACCCTCCCTATACACACCCCCTCCCTCTTTCCCTCCCTCCCTCCCTCCCTCCACCGCCGCCACCCCCCCTCCCCGCCCGCTCTGCTCTCCCTCTCTCGATTGGAGCCGAGACAAAAGCAACGGGAAGCGGCGGGCCGGGACGGTGCCCGCGGACCCCAGGCGCGACCGGACCGGCCCCGAGGCATTCCCCCGCCTTGCGGGGGCCCCGAATCCGCCGCCCTAGCCGCGCGCCCCGCTGCCAGACTTCCGAAAATTTGCCAAAAACTCACCGCATGAATTTTCTTGTCCCGCGGATCCAAGATGGCGACGTATCCACCGCGGAGGCTGCTGGGAGCAAGACCTTTACCCTCTGACCCCCACCGTGACCCCCGTCGTTCCGGCTTCCCTTAGGCGGCGGCGGCGGAAGGTGGGAGAGGCTCTAGCCGACCGGACGAGGCTGGGGGCGGGTTGATCGCTTCCCGCGCGTCTGACAGCGGCTGGGAGAGGCGCTTCACACCGCCATCCCTCCGCCCGCAGCTTCCACCGCCTCTCCCTCCGGCTCCCCGGGCGGCTCGTAGCTTCGCCGCGGCCGTTACAGCGAGCGGAGGCTGCGGCCGCTCCAGTCCCCCTGGGCGGGCTGGTTCCCTGCGGGCACGGGCCCCGGGTGCGAGGTGGGCCGCGGGGGGCCGGGGCCGGGAGCGGTGAGGTGGCGTGGGTCCGCCCTCCCGGGGCCGGGGAGCGTGTTTGTGTTTGTGTACGTGTCGGACACCCCGCCCCGCGTCCTCCCGGAACGCCCCCTGGCCCGGCACCTGAGGCCCGTGGATCGCGGCCCCGCGCTCCTCCCTCAGCCCCGCGTCCTCCGGGGCCCGGGCCGGGCACCCGCCGCGCGGCTCTCCGTCCTCCCGAGACGTGAGTGCCCGTCTGCGAGACCACCGGTACCTTTACTCGCCACCCTTCCTTCCCTTCCTTTTTTTTTTTTTTTTTTTTTTTTTTTTTAACTTGGCGGGAGGGAACAGACTGGGGAGTAGGTTTTTAGAGCACTTTTGGGGAGATTTGCGCAAGCTGTTAGGTTTATAGCGTTTTTGCCGCCAATAACTGATGGGGCTACCAGCAGGGCTGTTTGAAATGATGGTGGCTTTGGTGGGAACTTGAGGAGAGTGAAAAGCCTCGGCTTTCCAGAAAAATAATTGTCACTCAGAGTGAAGTTAAATTTGTTCTCTTTGAAGTAATAAACCTGTTTCCTTTTTATATTGGTAAACGCTTCCCTTTTTGTTACTCCTGGACATGGTGGACTCAGAAAGACCCTCTCCACGTTTGTTTTGGGACTGTAAATTATTTCTGTCTGAGTAATAGAACGTATTCATGTAAAGTGCCGTTCATTGGGAGTAAATAAAATTCCTGATTTCCTTGTTTGTTTTTTGTAAGACCAACTTCTTCCAGGAAAAAACAAAAACAAAAAAACAACTCACAGTAATCCAATTTAAAATATACCATGGAAGGACAAAGGGTTATCTGTCATTCATTAAAAAAATATATATATATGCATAAAACAAAAGAGGTCTTTGTCATGTTTACGGAATGCAATGTACTTTGGAATATTACTAGATAGTGTGTAAATTAAACTCCAAGTGGTGCTGATGTAGCCAGTGGAAAATGTCTTACATGGTTATCCATTTCACTAGACATTCTGCTTCACCTGTTCTTTATGTTAGGAAAGGTCAAGGAAGAACAACACTTCTTTATATTCTTCCCTATCTTTTCCCCAACAATTCTGTCTTCTGAACTTTTTCTTCTGCTTTGTAAGACGGCGTGCTAAAAAACTGAATACGCCTCTAAACGTAATACATATGGGTATATAAATACATGTATGTACATTTATCTTATTACTGAGCATTTTAACGTATTAATAAGTTAAAAGTATAACTGTTAATATTTGGAATCATAAGAATAATAAAAATGAGATGTGGTTTTTTACACATATATGTGTTGTATATATAAAAATATGTTTATAGCCGAAGCCGGTTTGGCTCAGTGGTAGAGTGTTGGTCTGCGGACTGAAGGGTCCCAGGTTCGATTCCGGTCAAGGGCATGTACCTTGGTTGCGGGCACATCCCCGGTAGGGGGTGTGCAAGAGGCAGCTGGTAGATGTTTCTCATCCAGACAGTTCTTTCTTTTTTTTTTTTTCATCGACGTTTCTAGCTCTCTATCCCTCTCTCCCTTCCTCTCTGTAAAAAATCAATAAAAAAAAATGTATTAAAAATATGTTTATAAATAGTTGCACCAAGTATTACCACTTTATCCATTAGTTTGCTTACATATAGGACTTTGATAAGACCAAAAGATGGACCTTATTGTTAAACATTCCCATATTTATTCAAAACATGTTTTAAATAGCATAAACACAGGTAAAATTGGAGAAATCACTTCCAGACAGGGACAGGTTTAATTTGATGGTTTTGTTGAACAAATTTTAAATTATTCTATTACTAGTGTCCAATCTGTTAATAAATTTGTAGAACTTGTTGAATGCCTACTATAGAGGTTGGTCCTCAGTATTAAATAAGCTAACATTTGTTAAGAGCTTATGTGCATAGTTTCTAGTAAGCACTGTAAATAGAATATTTTTAAAAATTGTCCTATTGCATCAAAAAGTCCATTTTTATTACTAATATTGATCACTTTTACCTATTTTGTAGATAGGTGGTTTTTTTCGTTTTTTTTTAATCTATTCACTTTGATGACTTTTACTGAAAAACAGTCCACACCTTGTGTTTTGTGTGTTAAAATGTGTGTAGGTAAATTTCTTGCATACTTATGGAAAAATTACTGGTTTAAAATGAGAAAAAAATAATCCTCACTAGAGGAAGAAAATGAGTTTATAAAGAATTAGTTACAGGAAAGGGAGTCCTCATATTTTTGAAAGATGTAGATAGTACAGAAAATCTTATGGTAAGGGGTAAAAAGGATAGGTATCTCAAATTTAACACGTACTTCACTGTCCCCTGTGGCTCAGTGGGTTGGGTGTCACCAACTTGACTCCCTGTCCAGGTTTCAGGCTCAATCCCCAGTAGGAGGGAGGCAGCCAATTGATATATCTCAATGTTTCTCTCTCATGGATGTTTCTGTATCCTCCTTTCCTCTCTCTAAAAATGAATAAAAACATTCTTTTAAAAATGGAACCAGTACTGAAACAACATTTGGATTCAAATTTTCCTCCCACAAACAATACTACCAACATTCACTCACTTGTTCAGGCATAAAACTAGGAACATTCTTTGATTCCGAACCTTTACTGATCATCCAATACCATCAGCTCTTTCTTATATGTATTCTGAATTCAGCCACTTCTTACCTCTCATACCACCACTCTGTCCAAAAAGACACTACATCTCTCAACGAGCAATGTCCACATTATCTGTTCCACTTTTCCTTGTGCCCCTTCAAACCATCTCTACATACCTGCTAGAGTGATGATTTACTCCCTTATTTTAAACCTCCAGTTGCTACCCTTAGAATAAAATTCATTTTCCTTACCATGGCCTTTAAAACTTGTATAATCTGGCTTCTGCCTACCTCTCCAACTTCATCTTGCTCTCACCTTTCCTTTCTGTCTCTGTCATGTATCAAGCTGTTTTCAGTCTATAGCAGAGACTTGGTTGTCCCCTAAAATTTTTCCAATTTTTTTCATAGTAATAGACATGGGTACATGGCTATCCAGAATACAGTCTGTATTTCCAGCCTCCATATAGCCATGTGGTAGTTCTGGCCAATAAGCAGGTAGGTATGTCATGTTAAAAGACATCTTTAGTCCTTTGCTGCTTTTTTTTATATCCTGCACCCTGGAATACAGATGTGAAACATTTAATTCTAGCTGCCAGTTTGGGCCAGGTGCAGGTTCCCACATCATAGGATGGCAAAACCTTAAGCTGGCGGAACCCTGAGGCCTTGAGACCCTTGTAGAGTATCATACCAGCTCTATACTCCTGACATTCATATTTTTGACATAAAAAAACAACTGTCATTAAAGTTACAGTTTAGGGTCTCTTGTACTCAATTCAACTTAACTGATCCTCCACAAGACCTTTGTACTTACTGTTTATTTCTACCTGAGATATGCTTTCTCTAAGTCTTTATGGCTAATTCATTCTCATCCTTAACATAGGTATTATCTCTAACACTCTTCCCTGGCCACCATATCTAAAGTAGCTCCTTTTTTCACTTATTCTCTCTCACATTGTTGTATAGCAAATCAGTGAGATAGACAGGAGATGCCTTAATGAGCCAATTAATTAGGAGTCTTTATTCGGGCCCAGAGGGAGGTGTTTCCCCAATCTCTGAGACCTGATGTAGAGGAAGTTTCCCATATTTATACCTTTTGAGCTTCTTTGCAGATTTCACAAAGAGTTCTGTGTAGGTTATTGTTATAGACAGTTTGTAACCTTGAATACATAATGAACCAATACTTGGCATAAGAATATGGGAATTATTATCAGTATCAGAATTAGCCTTTAAGTCGGATGGCTAGCTTGCAAGTTCAGACAGCTAAGTTTTTATCTTTTTTCTATTATTCAAACTAAAACAGTTATTTTACAGAATAAAGGACTATCTAAAAATAACAGATTTGACCTACAGAATAAGAGACTCTAAGAATAACAGAGTAGTTTAAACAATAGTTTCAAAGGACAGTTTTCCAAAGGAGGAATTACTAAGCTTCAACATGACCCTCTATTTTAATAGCATTTTATAATTTGTCATTTTTTATTGTTTTTCTTCGCCCTACTAAAAATGTAAGTTTTATGAGAGCAGGGACTACATTTGTTTTATTCACTATTTTATTCCCCACACTGAGACATTAAAGAAGTACTGTTGAATGTATGAGACTGGGAATAAATGAGCTGTTGAATGAATGAAATAGATCCTTATCCAAGATTAGGGAGGCTTTTTTAAAAAAGTTAATATGCTGAAAGGTTTTCTTCAACAAATGTGAAATCCAAGCTAGGAAACAACTAGGAAAAATAGTGCTAAACTAATAGAATATGCCAAGCTTCCAGCCCTTGATAATGAAAATGCATACCTTTTCCTGGGAAACCTATAACCTTACAGGGGGAAGGGGGTAGGAAAAACCATAATTGATAAGGCAGAGTGGCAAATCAGAAAGAGTACTACAATATAATATCTTTTACAGAAATACCCACAAAAGAGCATTCTGGTTTGTTAAGTAACATATTGGACCTCAGATTCCTCAGCTAAAATACATGAATCTTAAGCTTTGAATGGTAATATTCTAGAAGTTTA